AGTTCATGAAGTGCTTCTTGCATTTCTTCAAAAGTATAAGAGTCGGAAGAAATGTTACATACCTCTTGGACGTCGTCGCTTTGATCTTCGTGTGCCATGAGGCAGAGATTTGCAGCTTCGTCCTCCTCTTGGTCGGTTGATTCGTCGCCGGAATCGCCACCCCAAGAGATGTAGGCCCTTTGCTTCTTGAAGCCAGGCTTGTCCTTGCCGTGTTTGGCCTTTGGACACCTTGGCTTGATGTGGCCAATCTCGCCACAGCCGTAGCATTTGGGAGGACCGTCGTGCTTCCTTCCCTTCCGCTCAAATTCCTTCTTCATGAACTTGTGGAACTTCTTGATGACGAGCCCGAATTCATTGTCGTCATCGCTTGAAGCCTCTTCCACCGGTTCCTTGGTGGCTTTGAGAGCTATCCCCTTTTTCTTTTGTCCATCCAAAGACGGGGTTAGAATAGTAGATTCATAGGTTTTAAGGTTACCTATTAGCCCGTCGATGGTGACGTTTGAGACTCCGATGGATTCGTAGATTGCATCGGCTTTTGACCTCCATTTAGGTGTGAGACTCCGCAGGATTTTCCTCACAAGATCCTTGTTGGTGTAAGTCTTTTTGAGAGCATGAAGATCGTTGATGATCTTTGAGAACCGATCGAACATGTCATCGATTTTCTCACCTTCTTTCATTCGGAACATTTCGTACTCCTGGGTGAGAAAATCGATCTTGGCTTCACGAACTTGATCGGTACCTTCGTACGTCACTTCAAGCTTGTCCCACATCTCCTTGGCGGTTGTGCAGCAAGAGATTTTCCGGTAGTCATCGGGGTTGACCGCACAATAAAGCATGTTGATAGCTTTTGCGTAGTTTTCAACCTTCTTGACGTCCTCGGCATCAAACTCGTCCTCGGTTTTTGGGACTGTGGTTTCTCCTACTTTCTTCATAGGGATTTGTTCTCCGTTTTTGATGACCAACCATAATTGGAAGTTGGTGGAACGGATATAAATTCTCATCCGTTCCTTCCAATAGGAGTAGTTGGTGCCATCAAAGAGTGGTGGCCTAGAAGTTGATTGACCTTCTCCAATTCCTGCATAGAGATTTCTAGAAGAAGAACCCATGATCGCTTTACTCTCAAACGGTTAAGTTTGGACGCGAGTTAGGCTCCGATACCAATTGTTAGAATAATAGACCAACGCTAGAGGGGGGGGGTGAATAGCGTTTGATCAAGAAATCGCAGGAATAAAAAATGAATAAACAAGAAGTAAAGAGGCACACCGATTTTACCCTGGTTCACCACAACTTGTGGCTAATCCAGCCTCCCGAGAGACTCTCTCGAGCTACACTACTATCTCGTTAAGCTTAACGGTGCTTAACAAACCCGTACAACTTGAGAATTCAAGTAACACGAACCTCAACGAACCTTCGAAGGAAACAGCCCTTCCTTCGAATAACAAGTGTCTAAGAACACTAAAAACACTCAAGAACAATACTCTCTTTTAGAGTGGATAATGAGTAAACTAAGAACGCTCAAGAACACAACACAAGCTTCACAAAAATGGCTCTCAAAAGCTATGAAAAATTGAATAATGATTTGCAATGAAAGAGTAGGATTTGTGAAGTAATGTGATGTGTAAAACAGACCCAAACACCCCTTTTTATAGTAGAAAAATAGGCTCCAACGGACCAAAGTATTTAAGGGGTGATTTGCACAATTTGTGGGATTTGATAAAATTTGGATCTGCTAAAAAATCACCTAGACAGCGCTGTCCTAGATTTGGACATTGCTGTTCTAGGCTTACGTTTTAAAAAAATGGGAAGCAACGGTCATGCCAACAACGATGTCCAAAATCCCTACATCGCTGTTTTGGCTGTTGACTTCCAAACAAGGAAAGTTTTAGCCTTAAATTCCTTCCAACGGTCAGGTCTCTACATCTATGTTCCATACTAGAACATCGCTGTTTAGGTCTGCCTTTGAAGATGGAAGTTTTGGCCTGACAGCGCTGTTGTTGGGTCAACATCGCTGTCCAAAAACTTTCTGCCAATGCACTGTATTTTTGGCTTAGGTTGGACAGCGCTGTAGGGAAGCCTACATCGCTGTTCCCGAAGGTTCTGGAAATCCAACCTTGGCTCAACAGCGATGTCTAGTGTCCAACATCGCTGTTGGAAGACTTAACGCCAAACCGTGTTTTCAGCTACCCAGGCCAGACATCGCTGTTGATTACCTCAACATCGCTGTTGGGCTGGTTTAGCCAGACCCATGGTTGGTTTAGTCACGCCGTTAGCCGATGTCAAAAACGCAAGTTATCCAAAGTAAAAACCACGTCATTTAGTTGAAAACCACGGCTAGCCAAGTTCGCGCCGTTTCGCATGGTTTTCACTAAACGACCAAAAACGGAAGGTGGTTTTTGAGGCGTTTTTGTTGGAGAACTATTTAAATATGCCCAGAAGTAAAAACCATTCATAAAAAGTTGAAAACCACTTGGTTGATTCGGACGCCAAAAACCAATGCCGAAAACAGAGAGCCGAACGCCCGTTTCTGAAAACCGAACGCCGGATGGCTTGGTTTTTGGTTTGGGCGAACTCCAAGTGTTTTTACCCAAGTTTAAACTTAAGAAAAATATTTTTGAACATGTAAAAGAGATTTTTATGAATTGAGCCTAGAGAGCCAAGATTTGGAATTTTGTGCCGGTCTTGATCACATTAAGACCGACTCAATGCAATTCTAATTCTTCGTTCTTGATTCTGGGTTCTTGGTTCTCAAGTCATCATGCCATGTTCCTTTGCCTTAGTTTTGCTCACTTTAGCTTTGATATGTCGCGGCGGTTTGGCATTATCAAAACCTGTCATAAAAACAAACACAGTTTAGTACGACGTAGGCGTAAACCCGTGTTCCAACAATATATATATATATATACATACATACATACATATATATATGTATATACATATATATATATATATATACATACATATATATATATATATATATGTATATACATATACATATATATATATATATTTAACCCGAAAAAGAAACCACTAATCAATGGGGTAAGGTTCAGGCCATCCTTACCAAGTAGATTAAAGCGGGGAATGTATAAAAAGCGTTTGGGCCAACCCGACAACAATGTTAGGAAAGGCCCAAGAAGGAAAAAAGCCAATTACAATCAAAGGAAAAAATACATCAGGCAAAGCTAATCAATCTGCTTCTTCATTGGGAAGCCGGCGTGATCATCTAGAGAGGTAAGGTTTGAGATTTAGAGCTTGAATATCCTCGTCTGTGGCTATCTTCTGCACCTTTTTATTTGACCAGTACCAGTGCTGCACTAATTTTTGAATCTCTATGATAATTCCCATATTTGTGATGTTGCGTTCTTCATAAATGCTTCGGTTATAAGCCTTCCAGAGATTCCATATGATGCATCCAGGTAAGATGAGC